CATTGAAATATGTTCTTTCTTTCTCTAATCTCAAATTACTTAATCCTAGCTTTTCACTGTTAATCACCTTTTAATACATATTTAATAATACCCCTATACAAATTCTATTTATCTAATTTACAAACTACTTTTCAACCTACATAATTATAATAATAATATACATTACATTATTACCTTACTAATATATATTGAAAAATGATTTTTATCTCTTACACCATATACAAAGCAGTTCTCCAACTTATATAATTCTAATATTCATACACATTGTTGAAATACTTTCATAGCATATTTTGCTTTACATTCTTTTTCTTTCCCTTTATCCCACACCTTTCACTCTCATCCAAATTTTTAATCTTCTTTTGGGGAGGGTTGTTTCCCATATATTTCTTTTAATTATTTTATTTCAACTATGTTTGAATCTGTGTTATGACTGTGCCCTCTAGTTTTCTCTCCCTTTGTCCTCCCCCCCCCCACTGTGTAGTTCTATGGCTACCTGTTCTAACCCATTTTTCCTCTCTCCAGCTGTTTTCCTGTTTCTTTCATTTCCTTTTCACATCTTTCAGAATATTTCCCTTCTGTTCTAATCCCTAATTTACCATCAATTGTACTAATATCTTCTTCTTGTTGTCTTCCACTCCTCTGCTCATTCTAGTGATTCCATTCTTTCCTCCTCCTCCTGTTCTTTATTTGTTGTTCCTTGTGTTATATTTTCCAATTTTTGAGCTACATTTCATCTCTTTGTGTTGTTCTTTTATAAAATCCTTAATGTCTTGGTAGATCAACTCTATTTCTTTGTTTCCACTTGCTTCCATTTTACAGTTAATCCAATTTTTTAAACAAGAAACCAGGAGTTTAATTTGTTCCAATCATTTTAATTTGCTCAACAATATTCAGAATCATTTGGTTAAAAGTCTTGTTTATTGTTTAAGTTTCCAGTAATTTTAAGGTAGATACTTATAATCCAGCAATTTAAACAGTTCCAAAATTGCACAGCTCTCCTTTTAGCAGCAGATGGCGCTCAGATTTCCACTTGGTACTGCCTCTTTGCATAATGCTAATAATCCAATTTTAATTGTTTTAAGTTATAAATCCAGTAGTAGGGCAACATTTATAATTGTAAAAAAACAAGCTGCACATCAAATTCCAGTATTATTTAAAATACCTTTTCAATCCCACATCTTCACTTTGAGAGTTCAATTTTCCTTTCCTTAATTTTCTTTAAACAATTTCTCTTTTTAAATATTCTGATTTTTTTTAATGTGCTTGTTCCACCGCTAGCCAATAGTTCCCATACGCTCCCCCCTTGAATTTCTTGGGATTGTTTTTCACTAAAAAATAATCTCTTACCTAGTTCACAAGCAACTCACTTTCTCTCCTCTTGCACAATTTTCGGTTTTCAGGCTGTCTTCCACTTCATGGCAGCCATGTTTGCTGCCGCTGCTCCCTATCGGCTGAGGGGTCTGTCCTA